TCACTAAATACATTGGCAGTAAATATTCCTTGAAATTTGTAACTGAAGACGGGCAGGTCGGGTTTCTCAACGGCCATTCGCATGCATGAAAGACCCCGAGAGCAAGCAAATATACACGCAAACAAATTATTTCTGCACGTATTTTTCTTGGGGCTACGGACTGAACAAGACTTAAACGTCCTCTAAACCTTATAATTTTGTAAGTATTGTTCAGTCTGAGAAAAACAGGAAAAATACGTGCAGAAATAATTTGTTTGCGTGTAGATATGGTTGCTCTCGGGGTCATTCATACATGCGAATGGCCGTTGAAAACCCCGACAAACGAAGAAATAATGCCAATGTATTTAGCGAGCTAGCTGTACGTACCGAAAGTAAAATGAACATTTTTACGAGTGGACCGCTGCAAGGTTTCACTTTTTCAGGTAAATTTCGCACACAGTCGGTAACGAGACGTCAGTGGGTTCAGCTGTCAAGCAATTTCTGTCACCTCAGTGACATTTTTGGACCCCCACTCAGAACGAATTCGTTGTATGAAAAGTCGACAGTCGTTTTCTCGCCTCACACGTCCTACGGGCGTGTGAGGCGAGAAAACGACTCACGCGAGGATCGCGCCTTCCGAAAAAGTCCGAAAACGACTGTTTTGCAGTCTAGGCAGACCCTAAAAGCCACAAGCATTTATACTCAGGCTAGAACGAGATAAGTAAAATACAAAGTACAAATGAACCTACACAATACTGTCAGCATGACTTCCCGGACGCCTTAATAAAGAAAAAATGCATTTAAAACTGATACATATAATTTAACTCATGGATTGTAAGGATGACTCCATTACAAAGTTCAAGCGCTAAAGCTACTTTGGGCTTTCAATTCTGACACGAAACCCACCCTAACGCTGCAACATGAAATAATAACCTGCAAATTTGCCATATTTCTTTTCTTTCCTGGTTTAAAAAGAGACCCTTCCTTCCCCTTGTCTCAATATTGAATCAAATATCTGCCTCCCCAAAAGCAACAAAGGTACCACCAACAATAAAAACTCTGAATCCAAACCGCCCAGAAAACAAAACAAAACAAAACAAAACAAAACAAAACAAAACAAAACAAAACAAAACAAAACAAAACAAAACAAAACAAAACAAAACAAAACAAAACAAAACAAAAACAAAAGCAAAACAAATCAAAGAAAAACCGATGACTAGTAAGTTGCTAAATACAAATGAAATTTACATTTTTCAACGCCCTGTTTAAAGTCCTTTGTACTTAATCGTGTAGCTATGCTAACAGTTCCTAAACATTGATTTGCTAAGACATATTTCTGTATCTATTTTCTTGTTATTCAGATACCAGTCACAGTTGGGGTTCCACTTCCAATGCGTTCATATTTTCTCTCCGCAACAAAGAAGGTCTTGGACCATTTAAGAGCATGGTAACGAACCCATCAAAAGCAATTCGCAAGTACTCAGGTTACGGTCCATCATTTGGATCGCAGTATAGCATCTACATCGCTAACAATGCCAACAGTAACACTCATTCCTACACTAACTTTGGCTACTCTTACTCTGTTCCAAGTGGAGTACAAAACAAGTACACAATCCTGGCTGGGACTCGTAACTTCACACCTGATGAGGTGGAGGTGTTTTATCTTGGCTGAATCACCGCGAGATGTGGCGATTAAATTATATTTACTTGATGTCAGTGTTGCACTTTACAATCTCATCATGTCATGAATGTTGATGGCGGAATCCACAAAAAGACCGGCTTGGCAAGTACATGTAGGTTGATTATGACGAAAAAAAATAGTACCTTCTTTGCTTTAATTTTCAGTTGTTATTTTTGGTGCTTTGTTATTTTTTAATATTTATGCAAGTCAAAATCATGATTTTTAACTCTGCTCTGCAAAGACAACAATTAGGAATAGCTGATACTAGAGATGGTCCCTCAGTTTTAAGAGGTTTCTATGAGATGGTGGTTTTTACAGCTAACTATTAAAATGTTGCCCTTTCAACCAATAACGCCTTTTTCCTTTTCCTTATGGATTAAAAAAAATCTAAGAAACCAATCACTATTGCACAAAAATGTTAAAAATTAATTTTCATTGTTTTGATCACTGAAAAACATATTGTAGGTCTTTGTACCATTTCAGGATGAGATATTATTATAAGAATTGTTGCGGGATATTATCAAGCCACAAGACAAGATTAAAACAGAAAATGTCCTGACAAGAGACTTTGAGTCTTTCACTTTCGTGGCTAATTATTTTGGGCAGTTAACCTTTTGTACGGCTAACGGTTAAAATTTTTCAATTTGTACGTCTAATGGCTATTTTTTCCCGCTTTACAGCTAAAGTTTAACCCTGTAAAGCCCATGAAAACCCCTTTTAACAGCGCGGCGATCTTTAAAAAGTGTTTAGGCTTGTATATAAAGGCGTGTCATTAAAATTGCGTCTTCGCTACCTGTTTGTTGAATTTTGTCCTGCTGTTGTTTTTTTGCTTGCTTTTTTTACTCTCCTTTAGATACGAGGGATTATGGGGGAACTGCCAAAATAAGGGAAACCTGAATACTCCTTTTAAGCAACTGAGGTTGTCTCGTATTCATAAAGCGATAAGCAATTATCAGTAAATGGTAACCAAATTAATGTGAAACCTTTCAAAACAAATGTTATATTCATGAACGAATACTGAACAAGAAACAATTCTGTTGGGATGTAGGGCAAAGTTTAAACAAACGAAACACGTACATATGGCTATCATCTGCGTGAGTGTTTCATTAGTCATTGGACCATGCACATAGCTCTTTCCCCCGTGTAATTCTGAATAGATCAATGTACCTTGGTAGATGGAAACCGCGGGGCCGGGTTTCCGTGGTAGTGGGGTGCGTAGTCCCGAGTTACGGGGTCTTAGGTGCGGAAAATACGGCGCAGTGTGGAAAACACGGGTTGCGGAGAGCATGCGGTGTGGAAAGCACAGGGTCTCGTTGAAAACACGGGGTCTAAGTCGAACACGAGGGTACCATCCTCACTAAATTGAGAAAGAAAAACATTCAAAAGCCAACGTTTTCGCTTTCTTTTGCGACGTCTATTTTATTTTTCGCAGTATCTTGTGGGTATTTCTTTTTAATGTGTTCAAAACGAAATAATGGATGAGTAATGAACCTCCATTGGTTGAGAAACATTTTTTCCTGAAAGCAATCCGACAAGGATATGATGTGAAACCCCTCGATTTCGGTGCCTTTCAGCACTGGCGCTAATCAGTGTTGCCACTTCATTCTTAAATCAGTTTGCGTTGTGCGCGGTCCATTCATGTAAAATCGATGTGCGGCACATATACTATTGGAGATTATTTGCGCCGAGATTAACGCAAGCAACTATACTGCGCCGACCACTGAGAAAACCAGAACTTATTTTGAACTGGCTTTTCAAAAAAGTTACAGTATTTTCTTTTAACACCCCATTAGCCTTTGTTTCAAATCTGGCCCGGCCGGGCCAGGCATATTTTATTCCTACATTTTAGTTAGGCTCGATGTTTATTCCGTATGTTCTATGGCAATTTTTGTTGCCATTTTTTGAGGTCCTACTTACAAGGTAACCATCGTTTGGTACAGCGAATACAGCAGCTGTCATAACTTGATAAGCATATTATTTTGTTCACGTTATACAAATTTATTGCTCTCACTGCTCGAACAAAGAGAATGGGCTACAGAGCACTTTTTATTTGCCTCATTT